AAACATCCACGGATGCAGAAGATTTCTCTCAAAACAGGGGGGGTGAGGTTCTGAGCCTCACCTCTGTTGATCCCCAGTTTCTCACCTGATGGCCCCCCTGCGACTGTGCCTGTCTTAGGTTGTTCCTCCCTTGAGGAATGTGATATGCTTTTTAAATGAAAGTCTAATATCTGTGATATAAACAGAATTTTTATGGTTCTAACTATAAGTATATTCCAGTATGAATTTTTTCCTAAAACCAAGTTCCAGTCAGAGCAGACAAGATCAGTACTCTGAGCTGAAGTTAACATATAAGGTCATTAATTTTGTTGTCACCACATGATGACAGAGAGGAAGTATTTAAGAGGGTGGTGTGTGCTGATGAGAGTGAGTTCAGAGCCCAGTAGAGGCTCGCGGGCTCCCTCTCCCTCCCTGCGGTGGAGAGCTGGGAATGGGGGGGGGTCTGATCATGTGTACTGCCAACCAACTGGGTGCATGTGTTACTCTTTGTTCTCTTTGTAAAGTCATCACTGGAAATAGGGGATTGCTAAGGTTTGCTATTTGAAAAGATTACTTTCAGTATTCTGGAAATCTAAATAGTCAAGACATTACTGAAGAGGGAATTCTTAGTTTTCCTAAAGAATTAAAGTTTGGAATTCTGCTGATGGAAATCTAGTTACAGGAACAGTTCTCTTTATTTAGCTAGATGCAATGTGAATTAAGAAGAATGGCAGTTTTTAATTTTTAAAAGTACCTTTGATGATTGGCACGTTAATTTTTCCTTTATAGCCTGAACTTGTTCGTATCTTGGAGACACATGGAGGCTTCCGATGAGCATGCGGTTACCTCCCTCTGGCTTAGTGACAGCCTCTGTGCGGGGCCAGCAGAGGCTCCTGTCCCCGTCTGTGCATGTGGCGTGTGTGTACAGGTACACACGTCCTCTGAATTTTCACTGCATCAGTCAGTATGGGGTGTGGTAGAGGAGCCATTCAAACTAAAGCAGACTTTACTAAAAATGTGTTTATGCCAGCACAGGCCAGTGGCCATCCTGGTTTTGGATTGATGTCATTCCACGCTGCTGCTGCAACCTGGACCTCGGGTGCTTGGTTTTTGTATTTGAGGGCTCTGTGCATGTTCAAAATGTAATCCAGCATATTTGATATGGAATTTGAACTTTGAATTCCAACTGAATTTAAAAACATAACTTTGTCCTCTTTTTCCTCCTTTCCCTTGTCTGTTTTTGTTTTCTATTTCAGTTGTTTGGCTAGAAGTGTGGCTTCTTACAAATATTTTTTAGATGATTTGCTTCATGAGCCTGTATCGCTTGCTTTTATAGAAATTTAAATGATTTCCATCTTGTGTAATTCTGAACAGGACCTTCGTAGTTGTGCCTTTGTGCCATGGGAGCGAGCTTTCCCAAGAGGCCCCAGAGTCCCCCTGCCCTTCTGCCCTGCTGTTTGCGTCCCCGCGGGCTCTAGTCAACCCGTTCCCACATTATTAGGGGTTTTAAGTTCAAACACTACCTTTCTGAACCCTAAGGTATCCGACCACTGCATTTTCCAGTAGTTAGGTGCTGACTATAGGTTCTTACTGCATTCTTGAATTATGCCTTGAATCCAAGACATTGGATTTTAGTATTCTGAGTCTGTCCTCTGTATCTTTCAATCTGATTGTGTTATCCTTGCAAGAAGATGAGAACTCACTGATCATCCCAGAATTCACTGTCCCCTCCCCACTTACGGGCTGGGGAGGAGTGGAGGTGCTCTGCAGGGGCGCGAACACACTGTGATAATGAAGTCTATGATGCAAACCACGTATTAGCAAGTGTGTGAGGTAACTGACTTTTTCCATTGAAAATGGGAAATGAAAAAGTAAATATTGCATAGTTATGTTTGTTTATTTTATGTTTATTTTTGCAGCATTTCATGCAACACCCAACACTTACAAGCGGAAAAACACGGAAACTGCTCTCGACAACAAACCCTGTGGACCACAGTGTTACCAGCATTTGGTAAGCTTGAGTGCTGTAAGGTTGCAGAGGTATTTGAGAAGTCTTACTTTTGAACTTGGTGAGGTCTCCAAAGTCAGCCGTAATACTGTTGTTCCCATGCTTTTACTGGCCCTCCAATAGGCAGATGTTTCACCCCTGCTGTTTCCCTCCCAGCTCTGACTTACGGCCCATTTTAGGCCTTCATTAAGTGTGTGTTATTCTTTACCTGTTGTTAATCTCTTCAGCAACATTTCTGGGTCTTTTAGGGCCAAGGACTCATGCCTTCCACAGCGTTTCCGAGGGGGGTGGCAGCCCCGGCAGCTCGCCCGCCCCCAGAACGGGTAGTTAGCTGTTTGCCGTGGTCCCCAAGCCTTTTCAGGGGTGCAGCCCTCCTTTGAGCTTTAGACCCACTGTAATTTGAGCTGTATTCTAGGTCCCACAGGTTTTTTTTTTTAAATGTTGGAGAAAAGGTAAGGGTTTAGGAAAATATGACATAGAAAAGTTGTTTTTTACGGGTACTATCTTATTTTTACCATTTCCCCTCTTTGAACCAAGCCACTCCTACCTAGGAACTAAATGGGTATATATTGCCTGTTGGATTTTGGACAGAAGATTCATTGAATGGCACCTGCAGAAGGTATCCTATTTTTAAGCAATTTGGTTTTTGTAGAAATGAAGTATAAACTGTTGGCTGCTCTCAAACTTCTCCCTTCTTTTGTCACTAAAAATGGAATTCTTGAGCACTATTTTATAATGTTCTTTATGAGGCAGAGCTTTATTTGGCTCATCTAAAACGTGTCTGCGGTCTCTCTGTAAACCATTGTCTATACGCCCTGAGGCTGGACTCCTGCACTTTGCGATGCGAATGTGACCCCCCGGCCTGGTCCTCGAGTTCCTCTCATGCCTCCCTGGGGCTGTACATCCCTTACAGGAATTTTATGATTTTATAATTGTATGTCTGAAGAGTAAGGCAGGAATGACAGTCAGCATGTTACCATCTTTAGAAGCCCTGAAATAGGAGAGTCTGACTAGGCGCACGTCAGGTACATGAGTCTCGTAATAATCGACTTTTAAGTGGACTATATGTTACACAAAGTATATTCTATGTTTTAAATTATTAAATTCACAAATGGAGAACAGTCTTGCCTGATTTTGCACTGCTCTAACAATATATAGAACTCATATTTATCTTTCTGAAATTTTCAAACTATCAAAAGCAGATAGAAAACAAGTTAAATATACAAATGATTTGTGAAAAATGGATATGAAAATTTAGCTTGCCTTATGCAGTCCCTTTTCTCCTTCACCAAAATGAGTCATAGACCTTGACCTTGATGCCTGGGTTTCTCACTTTGTAGGAGGGAGCAAAGGAGTTCGCGGCCGCGCTCACAGCCGAGCGGATAAAGACGCCGCCCAAGCGCCCCGGAGGCCGCCGGAGGGGCCGGCTTCCCAACAGCAGCCGGCCCAGCACCCCCACCATCAACGTGCTGGAGTCAAAGGACACGGACAGCGACAGGGAGGCCGGGGCGGAGACCGGCGGGGAGAACAACGATAAGGAGGAGGAGGAGAAAAAGGACGAGACGTCCAGCTCCTCGGGTGCGATGCGCCGGGGGCCGGGTTTGCCCTTTGCTCGGAGACTTGGGTGCTGGGGCGACTGAGGGTGCTGTAGTGGTTGGCTAGTCCCCGTGAGGAGTTCCAGCCCAGAGGGACCCCCGAGGATGTGCGCCGAGCCCTCCTGCCCCCTGCCCCGGACCCACGCCTAGCCTGGGGGGGTGGCGGCCCATCGGGGGTATTTGAGGATCAAGTTTATTTTCATGTGTATGTTTTCCTTTCTCCTTTTTTCTCAGGGTGTGGTGAATTCAGATCATTCAGTTTACTGTTGTTGGTGATTAGATTTTAGTTGTCCTTCCAGTCGTATGAATTACCATGAATGAGAAAGTATGGCCCCATCTGCTTTCATTTTAGGAGGTTGTGTGAAAGGGCGCCCGCCTTCCTGGTTTCCGCGGGGACAGCTCATCCGTAGTGTTTCTAGCCTTCGCTAGACACGGTTCCCTTCCGGCTCTTGCGCTCACCCTGAGGGCTCCTCCGTACTGTTCTCCAATTGTCACCTCTTGACCAGTGCTGATTTTGGTTTTGTAGAAGCAAATTCTCGATGTCAGACACCAATAAAGATGAAGCCAAATAGTGAGCCTCCCGAGAACGTGGAGTGGAGCGGAGCTGAGGCCTCTATGTTCAGAGTTCTCATCGGCACGTACTACGACAACTTCTGCGCCATTGCCAGGCTGATCGGGACCAAGACGTGCAGACAGGTGCGTGTGTCTGACAAAGGTACTGCTTAAGAGCTTCAGACAGAGGGAAGTAAGTGTACAGCCGTTGTCTATACATAAGAGCAGTTCTTGTCTTGGTTATTATTAAGCTCCTGTTCCTCTTCTGAAATTAAGTAAAAATTTTACTCCCCACGGGGAGGAGGTGAAAGAAAATGATTCTTCCAAGTTCTGTGTTTCAGGTTAGGTGGCAGTGGATTTAAAAAAGCCAGTAGGAATTTAGATTTAACCTTGAGACTGTTCACCAGGATGTAACTGTAGCCCCTCTCCCTGCCTGAGGGTCAGGAAGGCACCTGTCTTGCTGTCTGCCTTGTTCCTGGCACCCATCAGAATCCCGGAGCCGACCCATGTTCCTGGCATGTAGAGGGTCCTCACGGCTCTGCCTGTGCCTCTTGCCAGGTGTACGAGTTTCGAGTCAAAGAATCCAGCATCATAGCTCCCGCCCCTGCCGAAGATGTCGATACTCCTCCAAGGAAGAAGAAAAGGAAACACCGGTGAGTTGCTGCACAGTTGCTCCGGGTGGGCACCAAGTGCCACGGGCCAGCGCCTCCATGGGCAGCATTCCTTCTCCTCCCTATTGAACAGAGACTTAAACGGCGGCCAAAACAGAGCTGTGGAGTCTTGTGTCCCTGGGCAGTCGCTGGCCTTCTCCTGTAAGAACACGGCAGCTCTCCGTAGATCTAGTGTGTCGACAGTTATAAAGACTGTGGTTGCCGTGCTGCATTTTGGTTAAGAGAGGCATGTCACAGCTTCTGCAGTAATGGACACGTAAACAGTCCCTGTAAATCTGGGGAGGGCTGTTGTGCACGGAGCCCGTGGGGTTCCAGGGGCCTGGATCTGCCACACGGGCGGCACTGCATCCTGTTCAGAGTGGCCACCTGCTTGAAGCCTGTGTGCGTGTTACCTTTCCAAGGGCTTGTGAGTGAGGGATGAAGGGCAGTCAGTGTTTTCAGGTTGACTTGATTTGGAAGCCAGAACACTGGAGGGATAACTCCCTGGCCTGCCACCTTTTTTAGAAGCATAGTTGGGTGTTAGCTAAAGGAGCATTTAAGTTATGCTCCACAAATCGTATACCTGCTTATGTTACATTTCTTGAATAAATGTAGGGTCAACTTCAAAGAACTTACAAGTCTTTCCCACAGGAATTTAGGCTTTAGTAGATTCTTCTGAATTTTTTGGTTGAAATCTTTTTGACCATATAGCTCAACTGAATGATTAAAGCTGCCTGAAATCAGAGCAAGAATGCAGTGTCAGCATCGTCCATGTCAGAATAAACCAGTAGGTGGACATACCCTGCCCCACACTGGTGGCTATTGGGAGCTGGGTTGTGTGTGACTCTTTCACAGCTACGTGGTTTTAAAGAACTGCTGTATTCACGATGCACAGCCCTCTGTTAAACAGCTCCTGTTTGTTTTGTGCTGTGACTTACATGCTCTAGCTTCATGAAGACCGCTTTTATTGTTTTGCAGGTTGTGGGCTGCACACTGCAGAAAGATACAGCTGAAGAAAGGTTAGCTTCTTTCCATTCAACTTCATTACTAACTTACGTCTCATTTATTCTAGAATAGTAACTAGATTAGATATTCTGATAGATCACAACATCGGATATTCTGATCTTGTGTACATCAGACCAGTTTAAGTGGAGGATGAAAGCTGGCTGGACAGACTGTGTAAGACAGGCAGTTAAAGGAGAAGTGCTCTTGGGGGATGGGGTGTAGTTTCTGCCATCATTTTGGAAACAGGAATGTGTGTGACGTAAATACAGTGAGGAAACCCCTTTGAGCTGCAGAGGCTGGGAGGGCTGGGAGGAGGGAAGTGTGTCCTTGTTCATTGTGTGTGCTCGGCTTAGAGCTCTCTAGAGTGACCTGCATGCTGTTATCTTTGTGCAGACGGCTCTTCTAACCACGTTTACAACTATCAACCCTGTGACCATCCACGGCAGCCTTGTGACAGTTCGTGCCCTTGTGTGATAGCACAAAATTTTTGTGAAAAGTTTTGTCAGTGTAGTTCAGAGTGTAAGTATGTGCTGCTTTGATGCATGAGAATTAAATAGGCTTTTGGTCAGCAATTAAAAATAGTACTTTAAATCAGAAAAAAAACCCTGGCTGCTCTTGCCTGTTGTTTCCTTTAGGAAATCTATTTATTCTGCAGGGATTTATGGAGCCCCGTCATGGGCACTGTGGCAGCATCTCTCCTGGTGTGTATGCAGGCAGGTTAGCCAAATTTGGATTGAAGGAGATTTTTATTTGGTCATCTAAATTAAACCATAGTAAACTCAGTCCACCATGTAAGGGCAATCTAGAAGTTGTCAGGTGTGTGTAGTGAAAGTGTAGTAATGGCAATGAATGAAGCTGCACATGAAGCTTGGATACCAAGGAAGCATCTAGAATTCTGGACTGCCATAGAGTGGTCAAAAACCATGAGTATTATTTAGTCCAAACCCTCCCTTTACACCTACTTTGTAAATGAAAGAACTTTTAAGTGCATGTACTATTTAACAAGTGAAATGGAAAAGCAAGCGTTCGGTGGCGACCCTTTCAGCCTGGCAGCCTTAACCCTCCTGTGCCTTCAGGCTCCTCACTGCAGGGGGTAAGCCTGGGCAGGGAGCCTGAGCCAGGGGCTCGGCACACTTGTCTGTGCTGCCTGCCCATTTTCACCAAGGACACCATCTCTCTAAGGCCAGAACCGCTTTCCCGGCTGCCGCTGCAAAGCACAGTGCAACACCAAGCAGTGCCCATGCTACCTGGCTGTGCGCGAGTGCGACCCCGACCTCTGCCTTACGTGCGGAGCTGCTGACCACTGGGACAGCAAGAACGTGTCTTGCAAGAACTGTAGTATTCAGCGGGGCTCCAAAAAGGTACGGCACTGTCCCTCCTGGGTGACCGTTTTTAGCTGCTTCTTGAATGATGTTGGCGCCAGGGCGGTATCAGACCATTCGGCTGGGGCCAGAAAGTACTGGTGATGGTGCTGATAGAGGGAGTTGGCTGGTGTGTCATCAGGCGGTACACCCTGGGGGCAATCTCCCTACTCTGGCGTCGGGTGAACCTGTAAAGTCTGAGAGGCAGCCAGGTCTTCATTGCACCAGATTTGGAATAGGAGGGATTTTCCTAGTTTTTTAATAAACGATTTGAATTTATGTCTCCTTAAAGCAAATAAAGTCCCTTTCTTACTGAAGTAGTAGTACTCAAGGTTCCTTCTTGTTCAGAGTGAAAGACAGAAATTGCCAACGGTAGATTTTACAGACTTAGTTCCAGTTTCTTTAATAACCTTGGAAACAACATAGCCAGGAATTGTATAACTGAAGCCTGGGAATTGCATGCAGGTGATTTTTAATTGTAGCACCCAGGAAGTTTATTACTGAACAAAATAAATGAATAGCTGACATTTAACATAGCAGGCCTCGCCTGCGTGTTAACTCCCAATCCTCAGAATCGTGCATCAGGAAGAGCCGTTAACGTCGCTTCACAGGTGAGGAAAGGGGTAGGATCTCAAATCCGGGCGTCCTGGCTCCAGACAAGGCTGCAGACTGGCCACCCTCCAGCGTGCGCAGAGTGTTTGTATCTTAGCTTCCGAGCTGTTGCGTGATGTGACCGGGACCACAGCGTTCACAGCCGCCGCTCACCCCCAGCCTGTCTCCCCGTCCCACACTCGCTCTCCCTGTGAGACGCGCCTTCAGCTCGTTCTGAGAGCAGGTGGTCGTGTTCAGGTTGACATCGTCTTTGTAGACATATTTTAACTCCTAAGACAGAAAACTATGTGGATGCTTTAACCAACTGGGTCTCGTCTGTTTAACATTATTTAGCTAATTCAGTTTCTGACCAGGGAGGTCCTGGAAAATCTTCCTGATGGGAGAATAGGCCGGATCAGAATAGGAACAGTCAGGAGCTTAGGTGATCAGGGAGCCTTCTTAAAGGTCAAAAGGAAATATGGGACGAAAGCATAGAAATGGGCCATGCTGGCGGGCGTGCAGGCTGTCCTGTCGGGACAGGGCTAGTGAAGCACCCGGGGGGTGTCCCTCAGGGCTCGAACCGAAAGGGCGGCAGCTGGTGATGGGGGTCACTTTGCGGGGGTGGGGTGTCGCCACCACAGGAACCCTTGCTGAAGGGCCCACGTGCCACGATTCACCAGAAACCAAACAGCGTTTCGCAGTGTTTCAGCCCCTTTGGCAGCAGTCATGAAGTTGACCCCTCCGTTCAGGGCTCTGCAGCCCCCGTGGACAGTCTGGTGGAATTACTGTGTTAGAATTGGTCTGCGGACTTAGGAGATCCTACTTTGTGCCCCTCCTCTGATCGTATGATTGCTTTATTTTCCAGCATTTGCTGCTGGCCCCATCTGATGTGGCTGGCTGGGGGATTTTCATCAAAGATCCTGTGCAGAAAAATGAATTCATCTCGGAATACTGTGGTGAGGTAAGGAAGAGTGAGCCAGTGTCAGGCCGTGAGCCATGCGCCCACCACAGGCATTGATGTGGTGGCCCTGACTTCATGGGGTGGGTCCACTGGGTCTGACCAGAAATAATGCCTGTTTAGTTGTAGAGTCAGGGAAAAGCTACAGGTCTAAGCTTCCATTTGAAATTAACCTACCCAGTTTGCATTTTTTATCCAATAAAAACATTTCTGAGGTGAAGCCCTTGAAACGTTCTCTGATGTATCAGCATGCAGACTGAATGGAAACGAATTGGCCACAGTGACCCTTTTCTTTGTGGAGTGTCCTCAACAACATCTGTGATTCTCGTGATGAGCTTTTGTGTGTTTTCTGGCCAGTGGTGATGACTGGATCCAAAACAGTCTTATCCTGTCTTTCTTAGATTATTTCCCAAGATGAAGCAGACCGGAGAGGGAAAGTGTATGACAAGTACATGTGCAGCTTTCTGTTCAACTTGAATAATGGTAGGTGGCGGGCTGGCTCCTACGCTGCATTGGGAGCCCTTCCACTGGCTTCAAGTAGAAGGGAGTCAGGAATGCGCTCAGAAAGCCCAGGGGTTGATAGCACGCATGTAAGAGCACTTTCATGTGAGCACCTCCTGGATTTCCTGTCCGCCGGCCCAGGCTGGACGCCATCACTGGAGGGGAGGGCGTCCTTCGCACGGAGCCCAGAGACCACAAGGGCACAGCGTCTGCAGACAGGTGCTCTTGGGTAGAGAACATCGTCCGTGGTGGTGCTGCCAGTGCTCAACACCTAACGGCTCAGAATGACTCTCCGATGAAACAAGTAGGACCGGTTCTTGCAGAAACATGTCCCATGAACAGTGTTAACAAAAACCGTAATGGTGAAAATGACGACTCTTGATGTTGGGAGACAGTACTTTTTGCAGTGCGTTGGTCAGTAAATATTATGTGTAGTTGATAATGAACAGCATTTGAGACAATTTTAACCCAGCACAGTGCATTTTCTTCCAAATGTCGTCTCATTCTGAAGTTGGTTGACTGTTTTGCTACTGAAGGTAAACCTTAAAGAACTGTAACTAGTTGTATTTCCAGAATTGTAACAGCTTCGTATTTATTGGTGTATTACTGAAATTGTTACAGACTGTGCCTTTTTTCTCTTCAGATTTTGTGGTGGATGCAACCCGCAAGGGTAACAAAATCCGTTTTGCAAATCATTCAGTAAATCCGAACTGCTACGCCAAAGGTAGGTGCTCCCGGGGCTGGAGTTCCGATAGTGTGACGGCCGGACTTCCCTTTCTGGCCCAGTGGGGCGGCTTGGTGCTTCTGGGGCAGGTGTTTAGAATGGAACGAGTCAGCTGCTTCCCTGTGGCCTGTCTTCATCCAGCTCACGGACACTGCTGTGTATCTTTTTGCAGTTATGATGGTTAATGGAGATCACAGGATAGGGATTTTTGCTAAGAGAGCCATCCAGACTGGTGAAGAGCTGTTTTTTGATTACAGGTGAGTAACAGTACATTTCTAGTGTGACTTGAGGGCCTTTTCTGCCCAGTCTCTGAGCTGTGGACAGAGGCTTCCAGCTCCTTGTAGAGGAGTTGGTTCAGGGTCATCATTTGCTGTGGGCACTGAGGGGAGCTTGGGTGTGCTTTCTTGGTAATGTAGTTTCTTTTTTTCTTATTTTATTTTTTTTATTTTGGTATCATTAATCTACAATTACATGAAGAACATTGTTTACTAGGCTCCCCCCTTCACCAAGTCCCCCTCCCCCCCACATCCCCGTTCACAGTCACTGTCCATCAACATGCTGTAAAATCTGTCCATGCTGTAAAATCACTACTTGTCTTCTCTGTGTTGCACAGCCCTACCCGTGGCCCCCCAATGCTATACATGCTAATCGTAATGCCCCCTTTCTTTTCTTCCTGCCCTTATCCCTCCCTTCCCACCCATCCTCCCCAGTTCCTTTCCCTTTGGTAATTATTAGTCCATTCTTGGGTTCTGTGCTTCTGCTGCTATTTTGTTCCTGCAGTTTTGCTTCGTTGTTATACTCCACAAATGAGGGAAATCATTTGGTACTTACCTTTCTCGGCCTGACTTATTTCACTGAGCATAATACCCTCGCTCCATCCATGTGGTTGCGAATGGTAGAATCTGTTTTCTTCTTAAGGCTGAATAGTCTTCCATTGTGTATATGTCCCACATCTTCTTGGTAATGTAGTTTCTATTACAGAGTAAAAACAATGCAGAAAGCTCTATTTTTTGCTCTGTCGTCTGGGGCCTATAGGCTGCCTCTGTTCATAACTGGTTCTGCAGCCTTGTTTGCCTTCAATGTTACTACATTCACGTCCACTTCATTCTCTCTCGTCGGAGTGCTTACTCCTTACCTTGCTGTTGGGGTCTCTGAATGTTAAGGCACCCTTGGCCAGTGTCCTGCTTGGCCACCGGCCTTTGGCCGGTATGACATTGTCAGGCTCTGTGGGACGAACTGACAAGTTACACATTTAATCCTGTAGCTGCTTAAAGACAGACTGTTGTGGGGGGGAAGGCGGGGTCTGCACCCCACCCACCAGGACCTGAGCGAGCCTCAGCGCAACGTCTCTGCTCTCTTCCCGCTGGCCCTTGCTTGGAAGGAGAGGCAGGCTCGTGCGGCCCGGAGGCGGGTGCAGAGCAGGCAGAGGCGCAGGACAGTGGCCATTCCTTTTTCATGCCTTTTCAGATACAGCCAGGCTGATGCTCTGAAGTACGTGGGCATCGAAAGAGAAATGGAAATCCCTTGACATCTGCTACCTCCTCATCCCCCCCCTCCTCTGTGGAACAGCTGCCTTAGCTTCAGGAACCTCGAGTACTGTGGGCAATTTAGAAAAAGAAAATGCAGTTTGAAATTCTGAATTTGCAAAGTACTGTAAGAGTAATTTATAGTAATGAGTTTAAAAATCAACTTTTTATTGCCTTCTCACCAGCTGCAAAGTGTTTTGTACCAGTGGATTTTTGCAATAATGCAGTGTGGTCCATTTTTCAACTCTGAATAAAGAATACTTGAACTTCCCTTGCTGAGTCGTCTGTCACACAGCCTCACCAGCAGACGGGGAGCAGGGCTGAGTCTCCACTGAGAAAACAGACCCACATGTAACTCGGTTTTTAGTTGTCATTCTCTGACTCTTTTAGTTGCTATTTAATTATAATCTGTATTTACACACAACATACCCAGTTGATTATCTGCCTGATTATAATATTGGTATTGATTATATCTGTGATTGAATAACACCGCTTGCCTCCTGAGACGGGCAGGGCAGGTTCCAGTCGGCTGAGTGGCCCAGCATATGACTCCTCTGGGCCTCATTCTGCAGGTTTAAGCCTCTTCAGCTCTAAATGCCATTAGTCTAGATACAGTCCTTTAGAAATGCAGTTATGTAAATGGATGCCTATAACCAAACCAATTTTATATCTTGAACAAAGGGGTTAAAAAAAACCCTTAAAAGTATCAAGGGAGTGGGGTTCTTGCTCCCTGGCCACCTTACGGCTGTGCTGTTTATCTCTCGGAGCAGCAGCGTAACTTTCAAACAGAGTTATTATGAGTAACCCTCAAAACAGCTGTATCGGTCTGTGGTGGGTGGGTGCCTTTTCTAGAGTAAGGTAAAATATTTTATGTGATAATATTTAATGTAAAAATTAAAAACTTACCATCCATTCCAATTATGCACACACTGACAAGACTCTGGTTTCTGTTGCACTGATGCACAAGCCGTAGTGCTGTGGGCCCTAAATGAAAAAAAATCTGCCCCTTAGCTTTGGCGACAGAAAGACCTGGCCTTAGGTGGTGATCTCGTGTTATCCGTTCTCTGCCACGCTGAGGCTGGAGGACAGTGCTGCTGTACGGCGTCTCCGATGATGCGTCTCCCCTGGTAACGGGCCGTACGCTCCGCTGGCGGCTGCTCACTGGCACGCAGAGTAATCACAGGGCTTGCCCTTGGCCGTCAGCATGAATGGAGCCCATTTCTGTGTCGTGCCTGCACAGGACCCCACGTGATTTCTACCCGAACAGTGTCTACTGATGGGCAGCTCATTCCAGCCACAACTTTCTACTGGTAACAGCTCCCAACCTGTCCCCAGGTGTGAAAAGCCAGGAGGTGGGTCCTCAAGTCTGGGGAGGTTCTGCTCATTTATACACCTGAAACCTAAATGCATCATCCAGACAATAAGAGGGGTGTTGATGGAGAGGAGCCAGTCTGAGCACCATCTGCTTATTCTTAATGAACAGCAAGCTTTTTGTACTTGGATTTAAAATGTGCCTCTCCAGTGTCCTATTCAGCAGCTTCATGAAGATTCTGAGCAGAAATATGCAACATGTTCCCATTTGATGAAGGACATCTTCATCAGATCCATTGTGCTTTAGATTTTCCTTTATTTATAATGAGGGAAAAGCCCAGAGCTGGACATATAAAGTATTCAAACACCTAATTAGCAAAGAAAATCTGGGAAAAAGTGAAGTTTAAAAACTGCTCTCCCACACAGCCCAAGAGTCCCCCTCCTGGGTGTGTGTGGGCCTGGGGTTTACTTGTCTACCAAAGGAAATGCAGAGCAAGCAGGACAGATACAGAAGAGCGCAGGACCGTATCGGGGTACAGACGCTTCAGGGGTATTGCATCGTCATCGAGGACGACGACAGCCCAACGGTTTGCCTGTTGGTCTGTCTGATCCCTTGAAGCTTTTTCTCCCAATGGCCAGAAAACCACAGGAAGGCGGCCAGTGGCTGTAAGAGGCTGGACAGCCAGGCCCAGGCAGCACCTCACCCCTGGACTAACACTGCAGGCAGGTTTGAGGGCACCATGAACTGACACTCCTGCTTGTCAAAATTATTTTCAGTTTATACTCTAACTTATTAAAAATTACAATTAACCACCTAGAAACTGCTAATTTCTCATTATTGTCTGGCTCAGTCAGTCTCCAGCCTTGAGTGTATCCATTCAGTGATTTGAGGGCCCAAGTTCCACCTTTTGCCCAAGGTGTTCACAGCTGCCCCCCATTATCCATGAAAAGTCCATCAATGTGAACCAACAAATTGTGGAATTTAAACTTGTAAATGGGCCAATGTAGGTTCCTAATGTGAACATTGTGAAGGGACCTAAGTATTGGTTGAAGTTGTATGAACTTTGGACCTACTGGAATTAGCTGAAATAAATGCTTGCAGTCCTTTGTTGGAAAGAGTTCCAGTGAGAGGTGTGCAGAACACCCAGTATTAGAAGAGGCCCAGTACATCAAGCATGCACAGCCTTGTGTATGTCAACCATACCCTATAAAGTGGTTTAAAAAAAGTCCACTCACCTGTTATGATGAAATCATTGCTTGGCCTGCCGCGGATGGATGCGTGAACTGGAAAGATATGATTCAGGTATATACACTTAAGTCACTTAATCCACACAGCCAAGTTAATGTGATTCCTTAAAAAAAGAAAAAAGTGTCTTTAGTAAAGGGGATTCAATTCAAATGCCAGGTCAGTATGTTTGATTTTTCATCGGTATGGTAGCACCTAAATTTTTTTCAAAGGGAAATTAGATGCCAGTGTTCAGCAAGGACATAGGCCATCATTAACTGTTTGGTCAATAAAACTGCTTTGAATTCCAGGTGCCCTTTGGTCCGCTGACCTGCTGCTTAGGGGCCTGTGTTTACCATCCTGGCTGCTCTCTCTCAAAGGCACTGAAGGCCACGGGCCTGTCTAGCAAGTGCCCCGCCCGAGGGCCTCCCCTGCCCACCCAAGGCTATCCCACCTTCCCGTCTCCTCCCCAAGGGAGAGGAAGTGGTTTCCTCAGGCCACGGCACCCACAGTGGAACGTGAGCAACTGAAACTCAGGCGGGTTGTACCAGTTCTGTCACCAGTGCTACCCCGGGTAGGCCTGCAGGCGCAGGCCCCCAGAGGGTTTGAGAGCTCCTGGGCCCCTTCCTCGATGCAGCCTCAGAGGACTGCTACTCAGGTCTTCCTGAGAAGTACATTCTGGGCAAAATGACTTCCCATTTCTTAGAAAAACAGTTAACATGTAAGGAACGGAGCCTCCTGGACAACCTTGTGTTCTTTCCACCCGTTAAATGGTAACATTCACCTAATGGGCGGGGGGCGGGGGGCGGGCACGGAGCATGGGGCTCGAGGCTAAGGGATCCCTGACCGACTGCCCCTCCGGTCACTGTCCCGAGCTCCCTGACACTTACCCAAGGGCAGTCTTGATCCTGAATAAACTCGAGGTCCCAGCAAGATGTCATATTTCCCACCCTCAACACAAGTTCTGGTGCGGCTCTGCGCTTTGCAGCGCATCTGTCCGGCCGGGGGCAGGAGCGGAGCCGGAGGGGCCTCCCTAGCCGAGGGAGGAGTCCGTGGGCGGGGCATCTTTATAAGGCTGTTCGAAAAAGACGATATTCTAAAAAAAAGGTGGGAACCATACATAGCCTTTAACTTTTAAAACTTACCTAAGTGCAAGAACTTTTCAGGAACTTCACTTGGACTCCTTTAGCTCTGCTTTCTTCCACTTCTGAAACCTCGACCCACCGGAGGTAGGTTAGCTTGATGAGTAATCTGCAAGTACTCACCACCGGGCCCTGGGAGCCACTTGCTATGAGGCCTATGGAGCCACAGGCTGGAAGCCATGCTGCAGAGCTGAGCCCCTCTGGGGGGTCTCGGTCGCCACCTCCATTCTGTCCTTTGGCCAGAGAGTGTTTGCACAGGGGGACGAACTGTCAACCACGAGACTGCAAACAAAGGAAATGAGGTGCAGACCAGGACGTGGTTCACTGTGACTCAATTCTCCGGGGAGCCGTACCGATGCTAGGAGCAGAGTGCAGTGCACTGGGACCCCTGGCCTGGGGTCTCTCCTCCTTCAGGGGACAGACTGAAGCCAACACTCTCTCCCCGCCTGAGCAGCCACTTTCCTAACAGCCGAGACTGCTGTTCAAGTGACCCACGGGCGCCTGAGAAACAGCTTCCGGCTCTTGAACTGCCTGTGTGGGAGCCGGGCTGCTCCTGGTCACCCTCCTTGTCCAGGAAGTTGTCCCAGGAGAGCAGACGGGCTCATCTTAGACTGCTGCTCCTTGCACTGCTGGTTAGAGCCTGAACAAAGGTGCATCTTCAAGTATAAGCACTTCCTCTGTGGACTTTTCCAGACTCAGCAGTGAGTGGTAGGGAGTGTGGTCCCCAGGCTGGGCTGCCACATTCAAATCCCAGCTCTTCTACTTACTAGTGGCAACGCCCCTTGCCTCAATTTCCCCATGTGTGAACCAGGATATTATTTCCTGTGTCAGGTTGTCAGTTTATTACCCCACTCAGTCCTTACGTGTGTCAAACAGAACCATCACGTGGGCACTGAATCTCACAGGCTGTACGAAGTCGCTGGACGAAGTCACAAATGAGCATGCGCGTCTGGGAACAAAGGACAAGGGGGCTTACATCTTCAAAAAATTTTTAAGATCTTAAAATGTCTTCTGTCCTTTGACTTTAAAAATTCTAAAGATCTTAAAAAAATTATTCAGTCTAAGGAATGCAGCCTTTCAGACTACAGGAAGACACTGGGAATATCGGTTTGCACAATCGTATCTTTTATTTACATATAGAAATTAGTAAAACTTGAAACAAAACCAAATGCGACTTGTACAGAAATCCTTTAATTTTCTTTATTTTCACACATTAAAAAATGAAACACACTATACAAATGGTTTTTCATAGCAGATTACACATGGGTCCGTTCCGACTTGCCCTCAAAGTGCTGCCAACATTCTAAGTGCTGCCCGAGGCGACAGCTGTTAATCATGGAGCCAATGTATTGATTTAAATGCAGTAGCATGCAGCCCTCAGCATGGAAGGTTCGATTCCCCTGTTCTTAAATTAGGTTAAATGGCCTTGGTGTCCATATTTACAGACTTGAAATGTATCAATCCTGAGCAGTTCTGATGTGTATCTGAGACCAGCTGATGGGAGTCTTGGTCTCAGTTTGAAAAAGGGAGGTCCAGATGGTGGCAGGCTGGCTTCTATGAACTTGAGTTGTTCTCATTCTCTCCAACTGTCTG